TTCATTTGGTGGTTGAGGGAACTGAAGTTCAGAAAGATGCTGTGGCTTGCACAGGGTCACAGGGATTTGAGCCTGTCTCTCTGACCCCAAGGCTCATGGTATTAATTATTCTGTCTCCTCTCCCTCTGTGCCATGTGAGGGAGAGAAAAGAATGGTCCCTGTGGGGATGAGGCTGATCCCTGGGAAGTTGATGGGTCGGTATGTGCGCGTCCACATGGATGTATCCAACACAGACACACACAAGTGTGGCTTCCTGTCCTGATCGTGTGTAATCTAACTGGAAGTTTGACAAGGCCTCGTGGAACTTCGTTTTCCCTTTGGGCTCCAAAGACAGGACCATGGCTTCCACGGTGACTGTATCACTTCAGTTGCTCTGATGCCTTGAGAACTTACCCCAGGGGGACTGTCGTGGCCAGGAAATGTACGGACTCCTCCAGGTCAGGCAGGACTGCTGACCTAAAGTTATGGACTCTGCCACGTGGGGTATGCATGACCCTGGAGCAAGAAAAAGGTCCAGTTTAGAGAATAGCAGGACAGTCACCCTCAGCACAAAGATGGGAGCCGGGAGAGTGCTGGATCACTACTGTCCTCAGGGTACACGGGGTCCTTCCATTTGGGACACGACTGTTAAAGAAGGGCATGTGCGGAATTCATATTCTGTGCCCATTTAGTGCCTGTGGACACTGAAGCAAGCATAGGTGATGTGACTGAAGGTTCCTCTCAATTCAGGGTTTATTCCTTTGACTGTTGATGTCCTGTCAAACACTTGAGAGCGGCCAGAGCCCCTTTTACATTGGCATTGGCATGATGGTCTTGGATGTGTCTGGAAAATGTAATACACAGAGGCTTTTCGGCAGCCTCTCTCAGTGGCTCTGCGTCTGGGGGACTGAAGTCGATGTGAAGCGTGAGTGAAGGGGAGAATATAGGTTTCGGTACCTCAGTGTTTTGCTGAGGGTGCAAGATTCCATAGCTGAGGCGAACGTGCACGCACTGATCAGTCTACTAGTAGTTTCCGACTCACGGAGATTTTTAAGAATTCAGGTCAGGTGCTCATTGATTCGATCAGCAGCTGTCCATTCACTCCCTCCTTTCGCCAGGCCCTGAGTTTAGAAGCTGTGATCCTCAAAATCCATCAGTGTGTATTTGAAAATCCCTCCTAGCCTGGGATATTGTCATCTCATCAGAGAAACACACAGCTTATTGAGGTATAATATTATTACGCAAACAGAAATTGGATATTTACATCGAATTAAGGATTTGTGAATGAAATGTTACCATGTCTGGGAGTTCCTTCAGTGTGATACAGGGGAAGTGGGTGGCAGTATAAATGAAACAAGATTGGCCATGAGTTAGTAATTATTGCCACTAGAGAATGGAAAGATGGTGATTCATTACCCTAGTCCACTTTTGCATAAGTTTAAAATTTCCCGTCAAGAAAAAGAAAACAAGGATGGGGGCACTTGGGTGGTTCAGTCGGTTAAGCTCCCGACTTCAGCTCAGCTCATGATCTCACGGTTTGTGGGTTCGAGCCCCGCATCGGGCTCTGGGCTGACAGTTTGGAACCTGCTTTGGATTCTGTGTCTCCCTCTCTCTCTCTCTCTGCCCCTCCCCTACTTGCACTCTGTCTTTCAAAAATAAATAAACATTCTAAAAAAAGAAAAGAAAACAAAACAAGGATGAATTGAGGGGTCATAGAACTCCCACCTTCATCCAGGTTACAGAGGGACATATATCCCCAGTGACTTCCATTCATCTTTTCCCTCCTGGCGAACAGACTGGATGAACTCTTGAGGTAAATCTCAGCTCCGCACGGGGACCTGCAGGGCTTTGCATCATCTGGCCCCTGCGTGTGTGGAGTGCTTTCCCTTCCTTCCTTCGCTCCCCCAAACCAGCCCCCCACCACTCATCTTGGACTTCCAATCTTGGTTTCAGTGCCACCTCCTCAGGGAACCCCTTTGGGATTTCTTCCCCCCCATTTGCTCTCTTAGACCCAATTTTTCTTTCTTCCTCCCAGTTCGTATGGTGTGTTTTTGTGTGATTATTTGACTCATATCTGTCTTCCCAATTAGCATAAAAATTCCATGCAAGTAGAAACTTCACTGCATGCCTGACATTCTCCTTGGTGTCTAGTGTAGTGCTTGATACCCGAAGGGCCACTCCATAAATACTTAATGGAGTGAAAAAATCTCTGTTAATCCCGTCTACAAACACTGGACTGACTCCGTTCAAATCCCTTGTGAAAATGCATATAGGAGGGTAAAGTGAAGACACTCTGTTTTCTCCTATGTGGTATATAGAATCCTGGAGCCAGGATTTGGGGATCTGGGGAGCCTACCAGAGCAGCCTGTCAGACTCAGAGGAGGAGGGGGCTCTCAAGATGTAGGGCAGCATGGAAACAGCAGCTTCGGCCCTGATCAAGTTTTTCCAGCCACCACCTGCTTCCACCCTCCTTGGCTGACCGGTGGGTGCTTACGTAGACATGGGAAGGGAGAGACCAACTTAGAGAGATCTGGGGAGTTACTGCACTCCAGGAAACCTTCGCCACCTCTCTCCCCAGCAGTCAGCCTTGGGCGGGGACCTTTGTCTGACTCCACGGTGTAGGGGACAAGATGTGTTCAATGACATCACCAAAGATTCTGCTAGCTAAACAGTCTTTGCGTTAATTTATGTTTCTTGGGACATCCGGGGCTGTCTCTGCTGGGAAGGAAGGGTCTTGGAGCTATACTACGGTTACCACGGATCACTTAATAGAAGCACGTTTGGATTCACACAGCCCTATGGTAGGGTTCTGGTTCCCTCGCTTCCCAGCTGCTTGAGTTTGGGCAGGTTACACAACGTCTCTGTGCTTCAGTTCTCTGAACTGTAAAGTTGGAATAATAATCCTTACCCTGTAGGATTTGTGGGGATCAGAGTAACTGGCAATATTGATACATTTCCTGCCTACACAGGAGTGCTCAAAAGTGACACCCTTATGAGACGGCATGAAAGAGCTGCCGTGGAGAGGTGCAAAGTTCTGTGTTAGTGGGGAGAGCAGGAATGCCCTTCCCGATTAGGTGATATTTGAGCCAAGTCTTGAACACTAACTACAACAATAAAAAAGTGATGGCAGCCACCATCTACGTTACATGCTGAGTTCTGTGCTCAGTGCTTCATGTTCATTTTGGCTCATCCAGAGCTCCCCACAGTCCTGAAAGGCATAACCTGGTGCCATCTGCATTTTGCAGATAAAGCTCAGAGAGGTTAAGTGACTTTCCTAAGGCGAGCCAGCTCATGGGTGAAGCTGGGATCAACCCTTAGTTCTGTTTGACTGCAGTAAGCCATTCTCTTACCACCTAAACTACTCAGTTGCTCTTGAAGGTTTGCGTTTTCCAACAGAAGTGGAAAGAAAAGGGATTGATGGAACTTGTCCCAAAAGAAAAAGCTTGGAGATCTCCTATTTGCTTATGTATTGGTATTAGTTCTGTCTTTGCCCTACAGCCAATGGATAGGTTTATCCATCATTGTTTCCTGGCTGGTGCCAGGACATAGTCAGTGCTCAATAAATCTGTGTTGAGTGAATGAAGAACGTAATGGGCTCAACATTCTCCCCAGCCTGTGTTACACATAGCAGCACAGGCAGATGAACAAGTGTGTTTGCCCAGATTACCTTACTGCTTATGCTACTGCCATAAAACAGAAGGTATCACCGAAGCTGGACAGTTTTGCCATTGGCCGCATGGAACATTGTGCTCTAAGCAGCAAACATTTTCCAGTCCAAATGATGAGGCGATCTGAGGGCACTCCGTCTGCCTTATCTCCTTCCACGCCGTCACCCCTTTCGGCGTCCGACGTGTTTGAATTCTCTTTATGGGCCTGCAATTCGTTTCTGGCGACACTCAGGTTACAGAAGGGGAGGTGAGCAGGTCACATCAATGCAGACAAGCCTGGACTTGGCACTTAGCATCTCAGACAAGGTGTTTCCTTGAGGTTGATATTACAAACGAAGCTGTGACCCGCGGTGTCAAGCAATTGGTGTGTGGGAGCGAGAGGAAGAAGGAAAAAGCGTGATACCGGGAGTGGCTTCTTCCCGGTGCATGTCTGAATAATGCCAATAAGCTGTCAAATAAAATTAAGGTTCAAAACATACAGGCTTCAGTTTGATTTCACTAACATGCCGGCTGCCGCTTAGAGAGGGAACAGGTCGGTGCTGTTTTGACGGGTCTTGGTGCTAAGCGCTGAAAGTCTCCTCTCCAGGCCGAATTAATAGCAGTTCACCTTAATTTGCAACTTAAGTAGAACGATATCTGAGGTTGAAATGAAGCCCTTCATTTCCTCTCCTGCTCACCCTCCTTGTGTTGACTTTCCTGTCCGTCCTCCTTCCTTCTAGCTCTCCCGCATCATCTCCCTGTCTCCTCACCCTTTCTCTTGACACCTTCTAAAAGTTTCTCCCTGTCCTTGTCTCTCTCCTGTACTTCAAAGAAAAAGTGTGGAGTCCCTACTACGTGCCGGGCTCTGCGCTGCCTGCTCGTCACAGACAGTCTTGTTTAATTGCCACAACATCCTTGTAACAGTAGGTGGAGTTGTGCTATTTATAGGTGACACACAGAGGTTCACAATGACTCAGAGCTTAACTAGGGTTGTGCAGCTGGTACATGGCAGAGGTGGGAATCCAAGCCTAGATTTCTCTGATGCTAAAGGTCCATGCTGTTCTCCCGCCGCCAGTGGTCCCGCAATCTGCCAGAACCTTGGAATCTCCTGGGGAGATCTAGCAATCTCAGTGCTTGGGTACCACCTCCATATTAATTAGCCTGGGAGAGGCGGGCCTGGGGGCCGTCCAGAATTCTTCTTCTCCTTTATGTCTGTTTTTCTTAGCATCTACACCAAAGTGTATGTTGAAGTATGTAGCAGAAAAGCCCTAAGGATGGGTAGGGTTCTTGTCCCAGACCTCTTAGGGGGAAGGACTTGCCTTTCTAGAAGGTGCTGCAAGAAATCACAGGTGTGCCTTTGCCTTCCTGATGCAGGTGGGCAAGTGGGAGAACCAGAGCCTGAGCCTCAGGCACGCCGTGTGGCCGAGGTACAAGTCCTTCTCAGACTGCGAGCCGGACGACAATCATCTGAGCATCGTCACCCTGGAGGAGGCCCCCTTTGTCATCGTGGAAGACATTGACCCGCTGACCGAGACGTGCGTGAGGAACACTGTGCCGTGTCGGAAGTTCGTCAAAATCAAGTGAGTCCGGGGATGCTGTCGGTTGGATGTGCCCAGTCCTTTAACACAGCCTGTATCATTGACAACAGTGGTATCTGTAATATAGTAGTAAAATTTAATACACAATAGATTATTATAATAGTACATCATAACCTGTGATACTAGATTTTTTAAAGACTTCAGTAAATAGCGGGACTTATGCCAGCTGGTCTGCATTCACTTACTTCCGGCAACGGCATTTGCAGGTAGGTGGTATTACCCGTCTTAGAGATTTAAACTGAGTTATGGGCAGATTAAGAAACATGTTCAGGGCCATCCAGCTAGTAAATGGAGGACCTAGGACCCAGACGCCGTCCACCTGCTTCACTGCCAGTCCTTAACCTCTCTGCCAAACTGATCCTCCCCTTTGGTCTTTCCTTAAAAAAAATTTTCATGTTTATTTATTTTTGAGAGAGAGACAGAGACAGAGTGCGAGCAGAGGAGGGGCAGAGAGAGGGAGACACAGAAGCCAAAGCAGGCTCCAGGCTCCGAGCTGTCAGCACAGAGCCCGAGGTGGGGCTTGAACCCGTGAACCACAAGATCATGACCTGAGCCGAAGTGGGAAGCTTAACCGACCCAGCCACCCAGGCGCCCCCCAAAAATTATGTTTTAATTTTTCTGGCTGCTCCCTCCTCCAGCCCTGCACATCTGCTTCCTTCCATCTCTTGTATATATCCCAGACACAAACTTTTCAAAAACTTTGAAAACTTCTCTCTGTGTGGAGGTCATGGTACAGCTGTACCCCTCACGTATGACCTTATGATGTGATCAGCGTGGAACTGACCTTCTGGAAGTTTCCCAGCTCACCGACAGCAAGCCCACATCACCTCTGGGCCGTTTCCTCATTTATTAACAATCAAAGGAAGAACTGACCATTTTTATGAGAGCTTCTGGTTAAGTTTCTCCCTAATATGTAGGCCCTTTGGTGAAGCATAAAGCTTCATGACCAGGTCTAAGGCCCTGGTTATAGTTTTCTGGGGCAAACACAGACACGGCCCTTGTGGGGGATTTCACCAAAAGGAAAAGACCTACCATTGGAATATTTCTGTGAGTATTTTCTGAGTGTGTCCTTTCATCTGGATAATTCTCCTGTGTCTTTTAAGTCTCAACCACTCCCTCCCCAAGTTGGGTTTGTTCCCCCTCCTTCCAAAGAAACCTGGAGTGTCTCTGTACCTTGGTCTGTTCAGGGCACTGTGACAAGTCACCACAGACTGCATGGCTTAAACACAGACACTTCTCATAATTCTGGAGGCTGGAGTCCACGGTCAAGGTGTCCAACCAGGGGCCTCTGGTTTGAGACGGCCATCCTCTCACGGTAGCATCACATGGTGGAGAACGGACAGAAGAGAAGCAAGGTCTCCTGTGTCTGTTTCCAAGGACGCTAATCCCATTCATGAGGCCCTCACCCTCTGACCTAATGACCTCCCAAAGGCCCCACCTCCTGACCCCATCACATTGGAGTTGAGAGTTTCAACACATGAATTTGAAGGAACTCAAACATGGAGTCCCTACCACTCGATCTCTTTATCACCCGATTTTATGGCTTATACCCTCCCTGGAGGGTAAGCTGCCTACATACAGGAAACATGGCTTCTTAGTCTTTGTACAGCCAGGGACCCACAAAACATAACACGGTAATGTTGATAATGATTGAACAGATGAGCACCTGGATACTTTTTGTCCCACTCTGCAGATTCTGACCGAAGCCTTCATTACACAAGGTGCAAATCCCCAGAGCTCAGCGCTTGGGACAAAGATTTTTTTTTTAATATGATTGTTAAATGTATTATGAAGGCAGATTCTGGTTTAGAGGGGAAAAAAATTATTTTTTATCAACGAGAAGCTTCTTTGGAGTTAAAATTCTGAATAGATTAGTCAATAAATAAATATACTTGAAGCACAGTTCGTGTGTGAGGCATAGAGCTGTGCTGAGCTGGGACGACAAAGGACAGGATCTTAGGGTATAGCATGTACACAGCTCAAAAACAACTCAGCCCGGAAAGGAAGGACAGATTCGTGTTACGATACGCCTGGTGAAGGATATAAATAAGGCGGTGTGATAAGAGACTAACTTGAGGTGAGATGCAAGATGACCCAGAAAAAGATGACGAACATGTGAAAAGCTGGGGGGCTGGCAGGGAGGAGCCTTCCAGGTACAGGGAACAGCAGCTGCAAAGTCCCCAAGGGAGGAGAGAGATTAGCAAGTTTGGGCAACAGAAAGAAGCCCAGTGCAGGGCTAGAGAGTGATGAGCTGGCAGGGGGTCGGGGGGGAGATGGAAGGAGTAAATGTGGGAACGTTGTCCCAGGAGATTTTGATTTGGACGGGTGTTCCTGGAGTACAACGTGGTCCGATGGAGAAGGCAGAGTGTTGGGTGTGAGGCCAAGACTGTGACCTCAGTAGGGCACCCCCTTTATGACAGCAATGCCTGCTTTGTCTCAGTAGGGCCAATCCAGTAGGGCCTCTTGGGATCCACAGTCAATAACAGGAGCTTCAAATCTTTAAAATCAGAAGCCTTGGGGGCGCCTGGGTGGCGCAGTCGGTTAAGCGTCCGACTTCAGCCAGGTCACGATCTCGCGGTCCGTGAGTTCGAGCCCCGCGTCGGGCTCTGGGCTGATGGCTCAGAGCCTGGAGCCTGTTTCCGATTCTGTGTCTCCCTCTCTCTCTGCCCCTCCCCCGTTCATGCTCTGTCTCTCTCTGTCCCAAAAATAAATAAACGTTGAAAAAAAAAATTAAAATCAGAAGCCTTGGAGTTGACGACAGTAGGTCGCCAAGTCCTGAGCCACATTCGTATGGAGAAAATGAACCCCCCAATAAATTACTCTCTTTAATAGAACTGACTTTTTTTTTTTACTGGACAATATAAACAGATTAACAGGTTCAAATTCACCTTTTTGGTTCCTGTGGGAGGTGGCAGCTTGCGGCTTCCCTTTTCCCGCTTGGCAACAGGACAAGTTTACTGAACATCGAGGTGAAATCGAAGTGTCTGAAAGCCATAGACAATTACTGGGACCCGTTCGTCCCAACATTAACACATAGCAGATCAATTGCCTTTCCTAAAGGTAATATCTCTGAGGCAGGCCGGTTGGTTCTAAGAAGGATTCTGTGAGGTAACATGATTATATTTTTTCTGGGTGATAATCTCCCAGGGTAAAGCGTTTGTCTCTCACTTCTGGAAAATGGTGGGGTCTTGAGGACACAAATCAATCTTCTAAAAACATAGGTGACAGGAAATGAGCTGAGAAACCAAGCGTTTCTTTTCATCTGTTAGTTGGGTGTTAGGGTATAAAGAGAGAATTGAGGAAAAATTAGCTGGCTTGATATTTCGGGGAAAAACGGCCATACTGCCAGTGAATCCCCCAAACTGCCAAATTGTTGGTAAGAAGAGAGGATATGTATTCTTAAGCACTTACCTGAGAGGCACTTTGCATATTTGTTTTCATCTTCCCAACTATCCCACAAGGTAAGCCCTCACCTTTTCACTTTACAAGTAAACTGAGGCTTACGAGTGAGGAGACTTATCTGCATCTTCCTGGTTGTTAGGGGCAGACCTAGGACCTGAAAAATGGCTCCGTCTGACTTGCATGGCCGTGATCCTGTCCACTCGCCACACTGGGAAACTGCAGAACTGGAGAGCTGGGTCACTTATTGGATCCCTTTCCCCACATTGGCTTCTATGGGTCATCCTTTCTTTTGGATGAGGGTGGGGAGCGGGGAAAGATTGCATTGGGCACATTTTTTAGATGGCTGTGTAGTTAAGTCACGCCCCCCCACCCCACGCACGTATACAAGGGCTGTGATGGGAACCAACTGAAAATTTCTACTTACAAGCGGGTCTGTGTTTCCAGAATCCCCATGATAAATTCATCTGTTGCATTCGCTGCATGTGTCTTTTTCACCCTGTGTCCTTAGGGTTTAATTCCATGTCTTATACACAGTAGGTACTCAGTGGGTGCTTGTTGGGTGAAAATGCATTAATGACCATGGGTATCTATAAATATACCTAGTATTAGGAGACATAGGGGAGATAATTAACTCATTAACTGGCCGAGGTTCCCAGCAATGCCAAAGAATACCACCGTATGCCTGTGACCCTGAATCTTAAGCCTGGGGCATTCATAACTCCTGTCCAGACTCTCCCAGGAATCCTGACCAGGGGAAAGAAGACCCTATGATAGACGAAGAGAGGGGGAAGAGAGAGAAGGAGACGCAGGTGGGAAGAGGGAGAGAAGAAGCATTGATGCATGGCCCATGGTGGCCAGGAAGAAAAAGAGAGAATTGGATCTGACCATGTTTTTCAAAGAGCCACAGATCAATACCCAGCAGGAAATCGTTATTTGGACATGCCATTGATTTAATGTACCTAGGACACATTTCTATCATGTTTATGGCATTTTGCAACCTGCTTCCATTACTCAAAGTCACATTGTCAAAAGAACCCATGTTCATGGACAAAGATATACATCAATGGTGCTTGATGTATGTGTATATCTGATTATATATGTAGTATATACTCACTGCAGTTGTTCTTGGGGGGGGGAGGACTAAAAATATGAAAAAGAGAAAAAGTTATTTCTCACCATTCAAAAATAGCTTTGCTTCATATTTCATTGTTTTTCCATCCAGATATGGTTTATAAGCTCATCTGTTTTTATATAGCCAGGACTGTTCTGTATACATCACTGTGTAACCTACTTTTTTTTCTATGATATGGAAATGGAAGTGATTTCCTATTGTGATGTTGGATTTCCACAAACATCACTGTGGTGCTTAGGTAACAGTCTGTTGTGTAGATGAGCCAGCAACAGAATATTCAGACAGAGCACGTATCTCGTGACATGCATAAGTCAGAGAGCTGAGCCAATGGGATGCCCCATCACAAGGTAGCCCAAGTGTATTGCCCAGAGAGCTGTTCATCGTCCTACACGAGCTGTCGAACTGGGAAAACCCTGTTTCCTTCCTTTTTTAAGGCATTTCTGATTTGTATGGGTGTCCTTTGAATATGACTCGGCCAGGTTAATAAAGCAAGGTGGCTGGTGCAAAGCAACATATGTCACCTTGGTAGTTGATGATAGCTTTTAAGAAAGCAGTACCCTGTGTATTTTAACAGGGCTTTTTCCTGATCAAGGACACTGCTATTTAGTATGTCACCTTTTACACTCGTGCTATGTAGGGAGGGAGGGAAAATGAAATGAACGAGCCCTCATTTGACAGATGACTCTATCAAGACACATTAAGTCCGTGGACTCAGGCACAAGGTGGACCCCAAGTCTTCTGATTCTCAGCCAAGTTTTCCTCAGTAAGGAAAGTGCCCTTCCTACTATGTAAGGCAGCCATTATTTCTTCTCTTTGGTTGCAAACCTCTATCTGCAGTGGTAGGATAAAGCAAAACTCTCCTCCCACTGAGAGTTTTATGTCTTCCTTCCTTCTTCTCTTTTCCTGTAAGCATTTATAGTGTGGCTTAGATCATGTTACTGAACTCTGGTCAAAAGAGGTTGTATGTGTTATAAAGTTAAGAATAAGTCAGTTAAGTGTCTGACTTCAGCTCAGGTCATGATCTCACAGGGTGTGAGTGTGAGCCCCGTGTCAGGCTCGGTGCTAAGAGCTCAGAGCCTGGAGCCTGCTTCGGATTCTGTGTCTCCCTCTATGCCTCTCTGTCCTTTCCTTGCTCACGCTATGTTTTTCTCTCTCTCTCTCTGTCTCTCTCTCTCTCTCTCTCTCTCTCCCTCTCTCCCCCTTTCTATCTGTCTCAAAATTAAGCGTTAAAAAATTTAAAAAAAGAATAAGAGGCAGTAACTCTTATCAGTGTAATGGGGGAGACAAATACTACCTAAGAGAAATGTCATGAAGGGTAATCCAACAATTAGTAGAAAGCATGGTACGTGGTACAAATAATAATCACTCAATAAAAGTTAGCCATTGTCATGGTTACGCTCATCCTTAAGAACACCTTCTACCTGTGCTGTTGTAAACTACTGCATGTCCTTGGAAAAGCCACATTCTCATTTTTGAGCCTCTATTTCCCACATGGATATAGTGGAAGCGTATAGGTAATGACTGCCAACAAATCTTCCGGCGCTAATATTCTACGGTCTCACGGTGTTTTCCTACAGCAATTCAACTAACGAGGGGATGAATGTTAAAAAGTGCTGCAAGGGGTTCTGCATCGATATCCTGAAGAAGCTCTCCCGTACCGTGAAGTTCACCTATGACCTCTACCTGGTGACCAACGGGAAGCACGGCAAGAAAGTTAACAACGTGTGGAACGGAATGATCGGTGAGGTAAGTGGTCTTCCTCCCCCTAGGGCTGTCATCCAGACTGGGGCCCGCAGTGCTCAAGGGCGGTGGGAAGGAGGAATAAAGGCGCTGTGCTCCTTTGCCTCGTGTGCAGGTGGTCTATCAACGGGCGGTCATGGCGGTCGGCTCGCTCACCATCAATGAGGAGCGTTCTGAGGTGGTGGACTTCTCTGTGCCCTTTGTGGAGACGGGGATCAGCGTCATGGTTTCAAGAAGCAACGGCACGGTCTCACCTTCTGCTTTTCTAGGTATGTGAACGCCATGGTCGCTGCCATTTACCTATGAGGAATTATAGGTATTTGTCTTGTTGGCTCAAAGGATGGAACCAAGGAGGACCTTGCTCACTTCCATTTAACAACATCAGTGCGTTCCAGAGTGTGTCGTATTTGGTGTGTTTCTTTTTCTTAGGTTTATTTTTGAGAAGGAGAGACAGAGACAGAGCGTGAATGTGGGAGGGGCAGAGAGAGGGAGACAGAGAACCTGAAGCAGGGCTCCAGGCTCTGAGCTGTTAGCCCAGAGCCTGACGCGGGGCGTGAAGCCACGAACTGTGAGATCATGACCTGAGCTGAAGTCAGACTCTCAACCAGCTGAGCCACCCAGGCGCCCCCAAAGTGTGTCATATTTGAGTGATCCCAATTCACATCCCCCCTGTCACCCCATTAACATCTTTCATTTATCTCTAACTTGGAACTATTGGCTGAAAATACAAGCATGTATTCAGATACTGGTCTTGATTGTGTGCAATGTAGATTAGTAGATATATGTCTTAGAGCCTTGAAAACATTTAAAAAATAAATCTTCTGTCCGTAGTTCATTTAAATCAGCCCATACGCCTTTATATGGTATCCTCGTTCCCATCTTCCACCCCTCGCTGATGTGACAGCCATTTATTTACTGGCTGTAAAGGTGAAATAATGATGAACGTGCCGTGATCTATACCAGCACTCTGATAAACAAAATAGAAGTAGCCGAAAGAGCATACACTGATTGAAAATTAATGGAATCGTATTTTAAATGTGACTGTCCTTCAAGCTGAATGGTTTGGAAGGGAGGAAATTCCTTACTCTTAACTATTCCATAAATGTATGTTTTGACATAAGTTTTGTTTTGTTTTGTTTTGCTTTTTTGTCATTTGTGTTTGTGTTTTTGTTTTGGTTTGTTTTAGAGCAAGGTAGATCTCTATTTTCTATCTTGTTTTCCTTAGCAGTGTCAGTATTTATGCATTAAGTAGCCTGACTACAGGTGTAGAAACTGCATGAGACATACCCAAGTGTTATTTTTTTTTTCTTTAAAAGATGGTATTGTGTGGAGTGTTTGGTTACCATCAGTGGTTTTTGACAGTAGCTATCTTGAAGATGGTGGGATTTAAATTCCCTTTTCCTTGGCACCCCCATCAGTGGGTTTGTCCCAGATTTGGGAAGGTGAAATTGAACATTGACCCCAAAAGCAAACTGCATAACAGAGGGAACTATTAAAGTCACTGAAATTTGTTACATTTTTCCAGACACACACACACACACACACACACACACACACACACACCCTTGTCTGGTAGAGAGCTAAAACTTGCAGACGAGAGCCAGTCTGTGGACACTGGCTCCAAGCCCATAGTCTTACTTGTCCACCATCTTCTTTTATATGTCATGGCGCATCCGGTGAAACCGTCTGTGTTTCATTCCCTTCAGTGGAACATTGGCTAACAGGATTTTGGGTGCCGCCTCACTCACAGAGACCTATGGATTTGCCATTTTCGTTTCTGATAATCCATTTAAGCTGTTGAAATCCTTACCACTCCCTGGATTTGATTTTGCACTCCTTACTTCCATTCTCCTACCTTTGTTGGAGTAACATGGACCTTGACACACACACACCTCATTATGTTCCTTTTGTGCCTTTGTCTGATATGGATAATGCACCCATATCTTAACAACAGAGCTTCACTACGCCAGGAGAAATGCAGCCGCCCAATAGAGACGACACGGGCAGAATCTTAACGATGAGCGGGAGACCCTCATGCACAAGCCACTGCTTATCACCAATCTCCCATTACCTGGCAGACTCTGTAACAGAGCTCTTTGGCCCTGGGGGTTAAGAAAAGGTTGGAGGAAGTGAGTTCATGGAAAGAATGGAAAGACATGTGTTTCGTTTCACAAGTTGTTGACATACCTCCATAGTGAGAGAACATTTTTTCCAATTCAATCAGAGAAGAAAAAAATGCCAACAACTGGCTTGTCTCATAAAAAAAAAAAAAAATGGGTTGCTGATATCAAATCTGGCCTCAACCCAGTTTCACCTAGATTTTTATCTTACCTGCATTAGTTGAACATTTCCATAAAAAGTCAAGCATTTTTGCTAAGTTTAGCCAAGCCTCCTTACCTGCCCCCCCTTATTCTTCCTCCTGTATCTTTAAAAATAAAGTAAAATAAATTGCAGCCAGAGGAAACTATTTTCAAAGCAGTTTTTACACAGTAGGCTTAATATGTTTTCTAGTCACTAAATTACATCCCTGTTCGATTCACTGTGCACCCCCTTATTTATGGCCATTATCTGCAGGTTTTGAAAGTCATAATGAGCCATGCTAAGCTACATTTTTCCATTCACTGGCTCAGTCTTCTGGAAGAGCCCAAACATTCAAAATCTGATTGCACTGCTCTTCATTACTTCCTGTCCTCTCTCCGCTAACTCCATTAACTCACGTCGGAAACGCTTGCAGGTAAAGCCTCCCAGGCTTTGTGTGCAAACGTAACCAGCCACTCTTCAAGGACAGAGGTGGCGTCTGGTGCAGTATTTTCATTCATTTACTTCCAAAGACTTTCCAAGCAGGTTGGATTGTTTGAGCCAAAGAAATGCTGATCTGGAGCCTCCTAGATGGAAGCCCCTTCATGGACAAATGTTGAATCTGTTTTAAGCCAGTCGAGGATGTAATCCAGAGCTATCCCAAATGTTTCTGGGTCATTCCTTAGACACTATAGATGGCGCTTCACCATTATTCCAGTGCTTTTCTATGTTGTGGTGGTGGCGGTGGTGTGTTAACAGCAATCCTTAAGGGCACTTCATAGGCACCTAACTTATCAAAACCAGAACACTGGGGGCGCCTAGGTGGCTCAGTCGGTTAAGCAGCCTACTTCAGCTCAGGTCATGACCTCGCGGTTTGTGGGTTCAAGCCCCACTTCGGGCTCTGTGCTGACAGCTCAGAGCCTGGAGCCTGCTTCTGCTTCTGTGTCTCCCTCGCTATCTGTCCCTCCCCTGCTCATGCTCTGTCTCTCTCCATCTCAAAAATAAACAAACATTAAAAAAAATTTTTTTAATAAACATTAAAAAAAAACTTTTTTAAAACCAGAACACTAGAGCAGGATCCTTTTATCTCTCTGCCGTGCTCACGAGCCAAGGGGCAGGTGTCGCTTCCAAGTGGGGAAACGTCTGGGATCAGTTGCTTGATCAGGCCTCCACCTTACTTTTGGAACAGTTAGTGTCAGCATTAGGATGCATCAACTGCCAAATGAAGCCATGTGCGTGAAGTATTCAGTAAGGATGGCCCCTAATATGTTGTATCATGTTACTGCCACCTGCACTGGCAGTGAAGTTATCCGATGAATAAATGTGCATGTTTGAAACCAGGACACCTTTTTCAGGACCACGAACAGCACACCGCTACCGCCATTGCCACTGCTGGTTCTGGCTTTACCCGCGGAATCAAATAGTGCTTCCACTGGATGTACTGTGTGTGTGTGCACAGCAAACTTCACACACCATCAACTGCTTTCCATGATTGTGCTCTTTTACTCATCATGGTGACCCTCCTCCCGTCAGATGCACCATGCCATTAACATACCCAGCTTGGAGAATTAGTTCACCATTTCTCTTCTTGAATATTGAGTGTGTTTAATCTCCTAATTATTTCTTTATTTCTTCTCCCTTTTGGGCACACCTCAATACCCAATTGCAATGATTTCAGGGATATAATATTGTTATTACCCAAGCTAATTTCAACTAAGATATATCATGGTTGCAACCTCATTGATTTCTTCCAACTCACCATGTGTTATTTAACCTAAGTAGCCTGTGCTGGTACCTGATCCTTTTTAACATATCTGCACCATGGAAACTGCATTGCAAAGCATTCCTGCCAGTTTTTAAATTATCCAATGTAGTTAAAGCTTCGGACGTATTAGTTTCTTGTTATATAGTAAGCTCATTAAACTGGAATTTATGATGACCCCTAGCTGTGTTAGGTAGTCACAGGCTTTAATGATAGGGTGGCTTGCTACCAGCCTAGTTCTTTATGATTATTACCAGCTTCATCAGAAAAACAATTTAAAAATAATAAAATGCCTACTATTCAGGGTGTTATTGGGCTTCTTATATTTTACCCTCAGAAAATGTTTGCTTGTGATGAAAAGGATTATAACTTTATTGGTACCCAAGGGCAGTTTCTTCCCAATGATGCATTCAGGTGGAGATATGTTCATTTTCCAAAATTTTTGTCTGTGTTGATTTTCTAGCAAATCTGTGACCTGTGTGAATACAATGGCTCCATTCAGCCCATTTTCATATCCTCAATCAGACTGAATATAAGCGTTAATTTATTTTACATAAAATCTCTTAACTTTCTAGAGCATTCTAAGATTTAGAACCTTGTGACTTGGCCTGCCCTTCTGAGACATCCATATGAAAATGAGCTGATGTAAACTACTTTTAGGGGAAATTACCATCTCTCCAAATACTCCTTCATTGTCTCTCTTCTTTGAGCAATGCTTTTTTCACCCAATTACCATGCGAATATGATATCCTCAGTTGACTTTTCAAATGCATTCAAGCCCATTTACAGCATCAACAAGATTTTAAAATTGTAGAGATCTCATCTGTCTGGAGCAGACGGCAGAGGGGAGAGTGTGGTAGTCCGAGCAGTGGTGGCAGACGTTGACCTTCCAATATTGATTGCTGTCAGCCCCCTGATTTTACAATCCTTTTCTACCAGGTTATAGTGTGCCCTTTCCTTCTGGAATTCCCCACACATCGTCCCTCCAGCATGTAAGAATCCAAGTGAAAATAAGAATAAAACCCATGCTGGTCAGCAGAAGCCTTAGAATTGACTCTTTGGGCCGGGTCTTGCTTCCCCATAGCATTGGTCCCCAGGATGATGCTATAATCATATCAGACCCGACGGACTCTCTATTTGCTTTCTTTTTCCCATTTGTTTTTACTTTCCTTGACCCGATTTGGACGGTGTCCTATGCTCTTCTCTATTTTTACCCTGTTATGTACAGTCTTGTAAAATGCCTCAAATGTTCTGCAGCATGAAGAATGGTGGAGACGTATGAACCGACAGGGATTCATAGCTTCTTTTGAATGATCAGATGCTCATGAGGGAGGGGTGAGCCTGCCAACAGACCTCTGGGCTTCCCGCTGGCCCTGGTTGTGAGGATCCGCAAACTGACCGTGTTCCACTCCTCTGGCCTGTTCATCCGCAGAACCGTTCAGCGCCTCCGTGTGGGTGATGATGTTTGTGATGCTGCTTATCGTGTCCGCCATAGCTGTTTTCGTCTTCGAGTACTTCAGTCCCGTTGGATACAACAGGAGCTTAGCCAAAGGGAAAGGTGAGACCTCCCTCACACTGACCCTGTTTCATTGACTTTCGACAAAGATTTCAGGTGGAGAGCACATCCTCCTGTGTGGGCTTGCTCTTGGGTTCCATGAACGGTGCCAGGTCACCGATGCTATTGGTAACCCTGTACACTTTGCAGGTTATTTGCTTCAACTAAAGAGGGGATCAAACAAAACGGAACACTTTTAATCGTGTTATCCTGTGGCAGTCTGTCACCGTTAGGTGGAAACCACTGGCGATTTGTTGAGAAAGCAGATTTGAAGAAGTTTTTCTAGCAATTAACATTTAAAATCTGTGTCAGAAGAAATGTTCAGGTTGTTTTGAGTCTCGACTTCAGTCCAGGCAGAGGAAATGGCTTTTATAGATACTAGTTTAAGAACATTCTCCAGACTACTGAATCACACTTGAATTCATTTGATGGTAAAAATAGTTATAAAGTGGTATTTTCCCCCAAAGAATTACATTTTCCTCTTGATAGTGCCTGACCTTAGTGCATTGTACTTGATAAAGCTGCCATCAGTAGATAGAAAATCGCACTGGGAGACATTCATTGGCTATAACTTATTAAGAGGCCCCTGTGCAAACCAATATTCATGTTAGAGACATAAACACATTACATCACTCTGAGTGACTCTTCCTCAGTGCACAGCACGTTCTAAGTGGATGGCCTCGGGAAGGCTGCTTGGACCAAATCCCTTTCCTGAAAAATGACTTAGGTTGGTGGAAGACAGTAGGCATACAGCCATTCAACATCAGGGTGCTTCAACTTGCCACATATTCTTATCCGGAAGATTCACTATTGGAAACAGTCAGCAGGTCATGGGAATCTGCTAGGAACTTAGTTTTCTTGAAATCCTCCCACTTCTTAACCACTGAAGAGTGATGGTAACTACATGAACCATCTCCAGTCAAGCTAACATAGTGAAAATGCCATAAGTAATCATAAATTGTGTTTTAAATGGGAGAATCACCAGCCTCCACTAAAAGGGCAATGGAAGTAACCAGTACAGAGGTTCCAACAGAGTGGGGTCTGGGAGGGTTTTCTGGGAGTGATTGCACCAGAGTGGAGTCTGTAGTTACATTCGTAGAATCAAAGTTTGTGCTGTTTTGTAAATTCATGCATTTCTCTGACGAGTGTTTATTGAGGAGGTACTATGTCCCAGGCCCTGTGCTAGCACAGAGGGACAACATGATAATCTGGGTGGAGACTTCCTGATTTCCCCCCTCCCCCTGCCGGGGAGCTGAGAACTTAACTTGTGAAGATAACACATGAACACGTAACATTAATAATCACGGATGGTAATAAGTGTCAAGGGGAGTAAAAGACAAAGTGAGGTGACGGGTGGGGGCACTGCTTTAGATAAGATGGCCAAGCAGGGAAGAACTTCCGGAAGACAGGACATTGGAGCTGAGGACCCGAAGGAGTGAGAAGTCATGTGAAAAATGGAAGGACAAGCATTTTGTGCAGATGGAACAGCAAATACAAAGAAAGACCTTGACGTTGAATCAATCTGGATGAAACAGAAAAGACGTGAGTGAGAGCGGTGGACAGTGATACAAGATGGCGGGAAAGGCGGGACGAAACATGTACAGCGTAGGAGGATCACGGGGCTGCTCTCTTGGGATAATGAGAAGGGCAGGCAGGAGTGGAAGGAAGGTGCTAGTTTTCTGAGAGAAAGGATTACAGTGGTTTGGACTTGGCTGGAGATTAGTGGATAAATCAGGTATATATCTTTCAAGACAAAAAAACAATCCAGAGGCCATCACATGCAACAACTCCTTCTCTGGCCAAAGCTCACACTTGGAAGACTATTGTAAAGCAAGGAATTGAGCAAGCAAACTCCCCAGCCCTTCCGTCGCCTCGAGGCTTTTTGTTTCCTGCTCATCTGCTTGTGGAAACTCCAGACATGACAGCTACAGGTTTCTTTGTGCAAAATGGCTTTCTGTTACATTTCCCGGCACGTTATGGGGAAGGTTTTATGTCCGGCTCAGTAATAGTATTCATGAATCAGAAGTTCACAAAAGTCTTGGACAGAACCCCTGCAGCTGCCTATTTCTGATTCCCAAATAGCCATCACTTCTGGTCAGCCTCATTCGCTAATAAAATTAAGTAGTTCATGAAGTTAACTGGATTGACTCTAATTATTATTTTTTTTCCTAAGAGTTCTTGGCATCTTGGGAATAAGTCCAGAAGATTATAAAACTAGGCAAAGAGAAACAGAAGCGCTTGAGATTGAGAATAACAAAATTAATTGCCTTCCCTTTGATGTGCTGTATGGGGTTATTATAAATATTGCTGCAGCCTGGGTTTGGCCTCCAGTGTGCAGAAAGCTTGCTTCTCCCAGGCTCCCTGCCCAGAACTTCATACCACCCGTCAATGATTCACTTCTGCTACTTTATTTATTGCCCACTCTGCTGCTGTTGCCAACCGAAGTCTGAGTAGATCATTTTTTCATATCTTCATTTACTTAAATGACATAAAAATTAACCTTCTGTTAAAGGAAGTCCTTTTTCCCATGAAATGAGGGCATAAATTGATTTTTTCCCCCTTGTGCAAAACAGACATGAAAGCCGAAAGGCTTGCATTTTACAGCCCGCAGATCCCACCCCCACCCCAATATATTGTGCCATGTTGTTCTGCCTCTTTTGTGAAGATTGCTACAAAGAACATTTAAGAATCTTAAAAGGGATACGTAGCTGTTGCGGGGATACACCGAGGAAGAAAAAGTGCTGTGATATCAGAGTTCATTTTCCGTGACCTGCAACCAAATGTCTTTCATCTGTGAAGTGGTGGGAGAATTCAGCTGTTATTCGGGTTCCTTGATGTCTCCACTTGCAGACAACTGAAAAGTTGGGTTTAATTCCTATATTGTGCACACTTTACGTCTGAGTTTGAACAGGAGCAGTTGCGAGGGACAATTGGATTAGACTGCCACATGTCAGTCCCACTGGACCGCATGGTTCTTACCGGTAGCACGGCCTGTGAGAACTGAAGCGACCCCACACATGCATTTCTGCAAGCCTTGCTAGGCTGATTAAGGAGATTGGCTCCCCCAGATGGAAATCGAATCCAAATTTAAAACCACATTTTGCAGAGCCATTTTCTTTTCCTTTCTCCCTTGTTTTTTTTTTTTTTTTTTTTTTT